AAAAATTTAAAACAGATCTCATGCTTCTTGGTTCTTTTGGCGTTCATGTGGAGAATTGGTGGTTAAATGCTTCGTCGAGGTTTCAGGCAGCGGTGTTAAGGTGGTCATTGTTCATTCTTTTTATGAACCGGAAGTTCGCTGGGATGTCAAAGGCTGGAGCACCGCCTGGTGGCGTTTGCAAAGAGGTCTATAGAGGAAGTACTGAGCGAGCGTGCTCGCCTATATAGGGGGGAGAGTGTCCAGGGGCGAGGGGAAAGAGCAAGCACGTGTTTCGGAGGAAATGCAGGAGACGCGAAATATCAAGGTTAACGCTTGTATGTGCGATCACGAGAGACGCGAACTTTGCGTTCCACTCTCGCTGGAGCGCTATTGGCGACGTGAGCGATCGAAAGCGTCGCTGTGGTCGGCCCACCACAATTGACCGAATGCTGACTATGACGTCAGCAAAGGATGTCTCATCGACGGAAATAAGAGGAATGTAAGAACTTCAATTTTGACGGTGTTGGCAGTGTTGCTTTGAGAGCGCTATGATTTCAGGCTTCCACCATGCCCATTACAAACACCACCGAACTTGTTGTTCGCAAGGTAATGACGTCACGAAAGGTAACCAAACGAGGGCGCCACCGAAACATCTCGCCGCTAATAGACGATTGCAAGCACGGCACCTGGTCACCGCCATATCTTGCCCGCACTGTATCTTGCCCGCACTGCTCGTGCGGGCAAGATACATGCGGTTGCAAGCTTGCAGAAGCTACGTTTAAGCGCACGCTGCACGTGCCTGCAGGGCTTCAAGTCTGGGGGTCTCAGGGGGTCTCAGACCGCCCACTGATTTTAACGGATGGTCTGAGACCCTCCACCACAGCCCCAGCATTAGTGAAATCAATATGTTATCTTGGAATCAGGGATGTGACATTTGGGGATTAGCAATTTGAGGGTTGCAGTTACAGCGTGGGCAGAGTCAGCAGTGGGGTTTATTTTATGTGCATCTAGTACATCTGAACTGCCCAGCCACGGCCCGAAAAGAAAAATTTTGTTCAGGCCCGAGTCCGGCCAGGGTCCGAGAAAATGCGTGCTGCCCGGCCCGAGCCCGGCCCGGGGGCTGGGCCGTGCTCGGGCCTTGGCTGACCGGGATCCGTGACGCGAATAGACGGTTTTTCACGTTGTTCGGAAAACACGCGGAATAAACGTCATACCATTCACATGAGTCGTGACCCGGTCCAGCCAACCCAAAAAGTCCATCTCCGCTGCTTTAAAAGATCGCATGCTTCAAACGCCATTGCCTTGGAGATTGCCTTCTCAAAATGTTCGCACGTATCCAATATTATAAAATCTTTGATTAAGTGTTTACTGATTTACCAACTTCACGACAGACAATTTTCGAAAAGTGTGAACTCGGCGTTTATTTTTTTAATCAGCCGTGTTGCGTCTATCTCTGTGTTTACCCATAGGGCTGCAAGCCGCCTCCTGGAACCTTGAATACCACGTGGCTCGCGCCGAGCTGCCCTGTCGGCCATGTTGTCGGAAAAACACTCGGATCAAAGGATTGCGTTACTCTGCTCCGTAGTGCTCCAGCTTTGGCAAGGCTTTCTTAGAGAGCCTAGATTTCAGAGTGTTTCCAATTTCTCCATTGGTGTCACGTGGTTTATTGGTCGCGTTTGCAATACGACCTGCGAGGAAGTGACGGAAGTGTTGATCGTCTGCAAACGTCTCCGCCTTTCCGCCTGCTTTCCTTCTTGCCTTACGAAAACGCAGCGGATACGTACTTGCGACCAGTTTCCGCCGGAGGCATCCGCCATTATATTGCAAACGCTGCCCATGGTTTGAGATGGACCCTCTCTACAATTTAGGCCCTCTAGGCTCTCTTTCAGAGACGTTACGCACGAAGATGTTCGCGCCGTCGAGGTGCTTGCGAAAGTATAGACAATATTTTTCTCTAACGTTGTTCCTTAATTAAGGAGAGAGCCTGGTGACGACCTCCCGGAAACATACCCAGTAGGAAAAATATGTAGTATTCACGCTATGCATTGTCTCATGGTAGTCATTCATTCGAGTAACAATGTTCAGTCTTCGTTTAATGTTCCACAACACGACGACACTCAAAATATTTTTATCAACAAACGAACAAAAAAATGCTCGTTTTAACAGGTAGCTTTATAATGTCAAACGACTGACGTCACATCGCATACGTTTGACCACCATGTAAGAGGCGGAGAGAGAAGCTGCTATTGTAAGAATTTTGAGTGACGGGTTAATCTTCTATAATCTTTTGAGAGGAGAATAGCAACGGCTGTGCGAATACGAGAGGCACAAAAAGATGCTGGTGGGAGGGATCTCCTTCTTCCCCTCTTCTTTGGTGGTCATCGGAGCGCTCTTTCAATGACGTCACGTGCAAGCCATGTATTGAATGGAACCGTTCTCCAAGATATGAAATAGCCATTCGCCGAGGCAGTTCATGCAGCAGTGCTAAGCCTACTTTACGCGCGCGAATGGAACGAGAGATTTTTTATTTCCTCACCCCAAGCAAAGCGGGCCTGACCAGAGCGAATCCTGGACAGCCGCATTGAACCGCATCGTCAAATGGGTCTTCCATATCGTTGGAAACTGTACTTGTTCCGAGGACCGTAAGGCCTTCCTTCAGGCTTGGCGAGGGCGTTTCGATGAACGTTCTTGACTTGAACCCCCGTACGCTGAACCTTTGAGGATGTCGACGGCCGCTCGGAATTCAGACACTCGGGGTTCTAGCACTCGATCCTTGTGTTCGATGTATTATTATTTTTGTATTTTTCTGCACCGAGCTGGGATTTAATCGACGGACCCGCCCAGCGGGTTTCCCCGTGCGGCTTCTTCCACCCGCGGCGTTCTTTTGTTTCGTTCTTAATGTTACGAAACCGAAATTCCTTTACACAGAAACAAACTAAAATATGCGCAGTCGTGGAATTTTACTCTAGAAAAACTGTTCGTATACAGCGTGAGCGTACGGGCACTGAACTCGAGTTCATAACTTTTGGCTCTGATCATCGACTCCTCGCTTCGACGACTTGCGGAGAGAACGATTGTCACCGAATGAAGGCTCGGACCCTTCTGATATCGGGGAACCCGAGCCCGTTCAGCAAGCTATGCGGAGCGCAAGTTCGTCTGCTTCTTGCTTAGGAGTTGCGGTGACGTCACAACTGCGGCGAGCTGTGATGGCCTTAAGCTAACGAAAGCACGCTGGGATTTCATTTCCCATGTATTTTGTCAATAAAGGCAACGTGGGTGTTATTTTGTTTACATGCCACTACTAGAAGCTCGTTACATATGCACGTAAGCAGCGTCTCGGTAAGGACCATGGCCCGGACCCGGAAGGTGCTCTGCCCCCCCCCCCCCCCCCCCCCGGATCTCACCAGGCGGGGGGGGGGGGGGGGGAGCACGAGCCCCGATGCCCCCCCCCCCCCCCCCCCCTCCCCGAAGTCTACGCCTATGGTCCTTGGTGTCCTACCTTTATCTTACGAAGTAGCTCTTCGGCCACAGACAGCAAAACTGACACCGGGTGACGCGCAGTGCCGAGCCGTTACCTGCCACCGAAAGCTCTCTTGAAGCGTGTACGGTGCGGGAGACTCAGGGCAGCTTGCAGGCATTGATGATCGGCTTGAAAGGAGCTGAATCACGCGGCAAAAAGCCCTTCTCTGTCCAGAGAAGATGATAGGCCCAACAAATTTGATTCTGAGTGAACTTCAGTCTCGGGACGTGTCGACGCGATAGTGATGGCTAGTTCGATGTTTCTCGTTTTATAAAAGATTCAGTTGAATTTCGGCTCTTGTCCGTATTAAGTCCTTCGATACTTCTTTCATAAGTAACGACAGCCAATACAAAGCACATTCCGCTGGAACAAAGGGGGGTTGTTCGGTTGAGTCTTCCGCTATGCGCCGCCGTTCGCTTCCTAAAACCTGCACCGTCATGCAGACGGCGCTTCAAAAGAATGTCGCTACTTGTAGGAGGCTCATAGGGACTTTAATCCCGTCTACGCCTTCCTCGTCTTTTTTTTTTTTGCGCTGTTTTTAGTTATCTTAAAAGCGCATCGTCACGGAACGCGTTATCTTTGGCGTTACCTCGTTACGAATGGTACGCATTTTAAATGGCCAACCGACTCGGTTTTCCTTCTCGCCTCAGCAGCGAAACGAGTGGGGTCACGTGTGCACCGGAAGGGTGCCTGCTCATGTTCGTCACAGCCACGTGCACGCTTGAGTTGGCAAACGGTTACGGCGTAATGCGCTCGGGAACCCGAATATTCGCCGACGGATTGATTGTTACCGAGCGCACTCGAGGGTGACGCGGCGCTCGTGTCCGGCGCCAGAAGAGCAACGTCACGACGTTCGACGTTCATAATCCTTCTTTGGGGGTTGTTTAATGTAAGTATCTGAAGTGCCACAGCCTCCTGAAGTTCCTAGTTATAGAGAGGGGGCGACCGCCCCCTCCGCTCTCCTTTTTCTTTCTTGTTTTGACGCCGCTGCTTACAGGTATTGTGCTCTCCCTTAATATGCCTCAGACACGTAACTGTATACGATGCTCACATCGATTTCCTGACGGACGTGCCATGAATGTTAGTTCTACTGGCTTTAAAAAAAGATATATAGTAACCTTCACACTTTTGGCTTTTTTTTTTATGCTGCAGAGGAGGTACGGTTGTGTAAGGTGCAATGTTAAAATCGCTAAGTATTGTTTTTATTTAATTATCTATGCGTATTTAGAATTATATATATATTCAAAACTATACTGACGTTAATCCTTTCGCACCATGCTTCACTTTTTTAATTATTTCGTTTTGCGTATTGTTTTTATTGAAACACTCACTTCAACATAAGAACGGGATCCCCTTAAAAGTGTTGTCGGAAAAATTATATCGATAACGATTGGTGCCGAAATAAACAACTCTGACGAGGCGTCAAACGGAAGGCCGAAAATCGCGCGCGGCACCACCAAACGCCGCTCGGGGCTTCCGTTCTCAGCTGGCAGCCGGTAGTTGCCGGCAACGCCAGCAACGCCGGCGGCGCTAACGCGGCGCTGCGGGTGGCGCCGCCGACGCCCGCGTCACTGGCGTCACGTCAACGGTCACGTGACCCTCCTTGCCGCGTCCCAAGAGGAGGGCGGCGCAGGCGGCAGCGCAGGCGGCGCAAGTAGCGCAGCGCGCGGGGACTCCCTCCGTCTTTCTGGTGGCCGCCGACCGACTCGGATCCTCAGTCCTCCGCCGCCGTGCCTTAGGAGCAGCGCGTGTGTTCCGACCGCCAAAACTGCAGCCCTCATGCAAGCCAAGCTCCAGCGAGCGGCCCTGGCCGCCGTGCTCTTGACCGTCGTCTACCTGCCGACGGGTGAGTGGCCCCTTCCGCTCGCTGCCTTTTCGCTGCTCGAGCCGTCGCCGATCCTAGAGGTCGACCAGAGGTCGGCGTAAATCGGTGCCGTCTGCTCGCCCAGTGCCGCATCGCGTCGAGCCAAACCGACGTCCGGCGAGGATTTGACGCAGTTGCGGCGACGCTGACTCGGCCGTAGCCGCCCGACCTCAATAGTGGTCCCGTGTCTGGGGGGCCCCGGCGAAGCGGAGCCGGTGCCACGGAGCACGGAGCGTGTGGCCGGCGGGGCCGTGCGAAGGACGTGGTTCGCGCCGGCGCCGCCGGGGGGCGACCGTCGCGGAACCCTCGGAGACCACCCGCTTCATTCAAACATTCAGGGCGTGTGGAATGGGATCGGAGATGGTTCCTGGACAACACTCGCCGAAATGAGATTGTGCACGAAACTTCGATCACTCCGTCACCTAATCGCGGCGTCCCTTTAATCTTTGTTGTTATTTTAAGTCGCCCCCGGCTGCGCTGTTACAAAGCTCTGCTGGTTCAACGACCCTTTCAAACGCTTCGACTTCCTTCTTGTCTCATCTGGGAGAATAGAGAGAGTCCCTTCCTCTAATTCCCATATGTCGGTTACATTATTTATACGTGAAGTTTATACATTCGATGACCCTAAAAGTATGTATGTTCTTTTCAATAGAGTCCTAGGCCAGTTGGCACTAACGCTTGGTAAAGAATATTTTTAGAATATCCGAGGGCAGATAAGATCTAATTATGTTTTACTCGTATGCGAAAGTTCACGCGTTGTGTACGTTGGTAACCCTGAACTGCTCGAAGACGACAAATGTATGTACCGAAGTACAGAACTGCGTGAAAAATTCTTCTCGTCTACTCGTCGTAAAAGCACGCATAAATGTTGTTTTCCTTTTTTTTTTTTTAATTTTTGCAGTTGCGACGTTTTTTGTTGCCTAATGCAAGAGGCAATGAAGCGAGAGAAGCTTGGGCAAAACACGAGGTTCCGTCTCTTAGAACTTCGAATAAAAAATATACAAACAAACAAACAAAAAAAAAAAGAGAGAGGCGCGGTGGTGCGTGTGCTCTGCGAACGCGGTCGTTGCATTGTCAAAATTTTGCAAAGGCGATCGCCAGTCTCAAGGATCCCGGTATCGACCGAACCCGCCCAAAGGCCTCGGGTCACATTCCCCGGCGGTCCCGGCCTGCAGCATCTCGGCGTTGAAACCCCAGATCGCACCCATTATTTCGTGCGTGCGTCATCGCAAAGCGACAACTGTCGGTACACCCCGCCGCAGCAGGGGTGTCAGTTCGAGCACCCTTGGAAGCTACCGGTACTGCGTGCAAGGAGCGATGGGTGGCCGCGGTGTGCAGCATGAGAAGTGTGACCCAGAGGTGCGGTGGAAAGTGGAAGACAGAAGCCAAGAAGTGGAGGCGGGCGGTGCCGGGGAAAGGGAGAAACACGACGCATGCGCAGTTGATCCGCGGCACGGTTGACTGGCGCCCTCTCGTGAAGTTTTCGGCCGGTTTTGTCGATCGGAAATTGGTCGCACCAACGCCGAGCACCGCGACGCTTGAAAAAAAAAGGAGAAAAAAAAAAGTGCAGTGCTGCTTTTTTGTTTGGCCGCTGCAGCAGTGGCCACAACGAACGGGCGTCAGCGACGCGACGCAGTGCCAAGGAATATTTTTTTTTCCCTCATCGTAACGACCTCGGTAGGAAGCGCTTTCAACACCGTAACGTCGCAAGCATGTCCTTAACGCGGAACAAAGAACAGACAAAAAACATCGGTGTTTTGCGCTTTGACCCCAATGAGCGCGGACCGAAGCGGCGTGTCGTCGAGATGCGGGGGTCTTCCGATATGTCGTGTGCGCTCTCGACGAGATCGTCGGGGCACTCCACGGATGATATCGCCCACTCGACGGGAACGGTATCGGCTCGACCCTGCCGGCGGCGACCCGACTCTATTCGCCCTTGCAGCAGCAGCGCATTTCCTCCGAGAACATGTCAGTCTGCAGAAGACACTGTCCGAGGCGCGTTTCTTCCTAGCCTAAGTCTTTTTAGACTTAGGCTAGATGGCGCAAGCTACCGCCCATTACAAAAGGTATAACCACTAACATCCATCCATCCATCCATCGTTGTACGAAAGTCCTGGCACATTGGTCGTACACACGCTGTCTGCAGGCATGTTGGAAGCACGTATGAAGCAAACATGCGTGCAGGCGCAGTGATTTCCCTGCACACCCCTAAATGGGGTGTAACCCCCACCCTACCCCCTTCCTAGTTTGTCTGAGAACACCCGCTAAAAAAACGAAAAAAGAAAAAAAAACGCAATATTTATTTTACGCGAAACCGTCGTTTTCTTAAGTACAAAACGAGCGTGTTGGTAACGGTAATTAGACATGAGGAAGATACATAGAAGTGGCATCGGAGCACGAGCCGCGTCGCCGCCTCTCCTCCGCCCTGCTTAGCTCCTTGGCTCCTCCTTCCATTGACTTGAAGGAGAATAGAGGACGGGTTTGCCCGTTGGAGATATATATATATATATTCGTTATTGACATTGCTTGCGGCATCACAGCATTGATACCGTGACTGGTATTCTATCACGTCGCCTTTTGCGTTACTTCGTGCTTTCTCGAGGAAATTACGCGTTCTTCGTTAAATGCTCACTTTGTATGTATGTAGAGTTCCAGAATACCTCTGTCGGGCACCACGAATGCATCTCTGTTCACACGCAGAAAAGAAAGCAAAAAACAAACTGGAAATAGTGTGAAGTAAATAGAGAAAATGAACTGCCTCCTTGTGCCTATCCCCTTCCCCGACCCGTGGAAGTTCAGACAGCCTCCCTAATCTTAATTCCTGGGGAAATACCCCTGGTGCGGCATGTCCGCAGATGCTCCTGTCATCGTGTGTGCAGCAAACACCGAGTTTTTTGTGGGATGTATAAGGAGCGTGACTGCCGGTTTCCGACGTCACTCGCCGTTACTTCTACGCGAGCTTTCGACATGGCCACGGGTGCAGTGTACCGGCGCATGCGTGCGCGTGATCACTAGTGCGTAAAGACGTGCTGCGATAATCAAATCGCCTTCCTTTACGGCGCAAACGGCGCACAAAGTGCAGGCCCGCTGTGTTGTATTTCGCTGCACATTTTGGTCTTGCAAGTGTGCAACGCGCGCTTGCGTTTATCGCGCATTAAAGGCGCGATATGGAGCGTTTTTGGATCGCTCCATACCCACCATGGTAATTCCACGTTACATGCAATAAACATGATTACAGTTGGGTGGATTACTATATAGTCGGTGACAGGTTCAGAAGATATGTTCTCCGCCTTCATTAATCGCTCGTTGCCCTCCGCAGTGTTTTGGCGGCAAAGCTAAAGCCCGGTGCTACCGATGGCAGAAAGCTCGCCCTCGAGAAACCCTGGCAACCTGTCACCGACAACAGTAAGCAGAAGCAGTTTAGGCCCCCCGTACACTTTGTCGTAAGTTCAGACGCAGCCGACGCTACGAGCTGATGGGATACCAGTCGGACAGCGTCCAAAGCGCACCGTCATGGTGTTTCTGTACGTTTTCTATCATCGCTGAACCGGTCGTGAACAGAAAAGACCCAGTGACTTTTGCATCACGATTGAACACCCATTATATTCCGCAATCTACGTGAAGACTATAGGTGCATGTAAATAAAAGGAGACGTTCTCTATTTGGCGAATCGAAAATATGTCCAGTCACGAAAATACGGTGAGTGCGCCAGGCAAGTTCCCTATTAGCGTCGAGATGTTTCGGTGGCGCCCTCGTTTGGTTACCTTTCGTGACCTCATTATACCTTGTGAACAAGTTCAGTGGTTTTCGGAATGAGCGGGTGGAAGCCTGAAATCATAGCGCTCTCAAAGCAACACTGCCAACGCCGTCGAACTTAAAGTTCTTACATTTTCCTTATTTCCGTCGATGAGACATCCTTTGCTGACGTCATAGTCAGCATTCGGCCGATTGTGGTGGGCCGACCACAGCGATGCTTTCAATGTCTGTCCCCTTTTTCTTTTTCTACCGCTGTCGAGATTTTTACAGCGGAGCTGTTAAGGGCTAGTTCCCCAGGATCGTGTCCCCCGCAAAGTAATGAAGACACCGAACTCTGGACACCTACCGCCATCTATGAGCGACGGCGGCAAGCCACGTGTCTGGTTGCCGCCGTCGCTCATAGATGGCGGCAGCCATTCCACTTCGGCTTGCCGACTTGCGGCCGGCCATCACTTTTCATTGTACAGCTCCGCTGATCTTCCTTCTTCACCAAAGTGGAATGGCTGAAAGTTTTTTCCTCCTGCCCGGTGGTTAAGTCATCGTAGTGTTCAGTGCGCCTGATGATGATTAAAAATAATTGTGTTCGTTTAGAGAGTAAAAATGAGTCAGTCCTGACTTTAGTCAGCCCCAGTGGACGTCCGGAGTGTCCGCTATAGATGAGAAATTTATCCAGCGCGGTACCACTGCTTGCTACGTGCATTATGCAGTAGTGGCATACGACCGCACGGCGGCACTATGCTCATTCAATCTGATCGAAACGGGCAAGGGTGGGGATTGAACCCAGGGACCCTGGGTCCTGCGGCGCGAGCTTTCGTTGTGCTCCGAGCTACTAAATAAACATTAAAAAAAAAATATATATATATATATTTGTGTGTATGTATATATAGGGTGTCACAATAGAAAATTTACAAGGTCTTTTTTACCACAGAAATAAACTAGGCACCGCCGGACACTCATTCTCCGCCCAAAGGTAGCGCCAGAGGCAACGTTACTAAAACACTCAGTTGGGAAACTCGCCGTCGAAACCTGGGCCGCTGGCGTCCACCGAGACCGAGCTAAATTAGGGTGCCTTCATACACACGTGCGCTTTTGCTTGAGTGGTGACATCTCAGCCATTTTTCCGCCCAATTCTTTTTTCATGCATTTTGAAGCGCCAGCAGTCTGGTGTCACTCAGCTCGAGCGCGTAGCTTTGGCTAATGTATAGACGCCATTTTACCGCCCAAGTCACGCACCGAGTGCGCGAGAGCGTCACGCGCTGGCACATTCAGAGCAACAATGAATGTCTTCACCCTGAGACAGACGAACATGTAGGCACCCTAAGCTAAATGCGACAACAGCACCACTCTTTTTTGTTTGTCTGTACTGTGGGCACCTCGAGCTTTTTGAAAGCCTGTTTTTGCGTGAAAACAAACGGAAAAGACTCTTTTTGTATGAAATTTATTGGAGTTTAGTACCAAATGATGGGCGCGTGATGTTTTTATTATCTTTAGTTCGCAATATTTTGCGGAACAATTAATATTGTTTTTATACAACCTTGCCTCAGCGGGCCTTTCAGGTAGCGCGTCCCGACCTAGGTGCATTCTAACTTCGGTAGTTGAACACGGCGCGTCCGCCGGGGAGACGGTGGTGGCACCCCCTGTAACCTCTACCGCTGTATCTGTTCTTAACGCCAAAATAGAAGTCACGTGCAGTGCCTCGAGTGGCCGCTGAGAGAGAAATGGTGGCGTTGTGTTCGTCATTAGCTCGGTGCTCGGAGACAGATTGGGGCCACTTTTTCAAAGCTGTCTCTATGGGAGTTTCCCAACTGAGTGTTTTAGTAACGTTGGCCAGAGGTCACGACCAGATGCCAAAGTTTCAGCCCGATCCGATAACTTAATCAAAAGTTATAAGTGATTTTATGAAAATTCATTGGGAAAATGGCGGCCGACGGAGTTTTGAAACACATGGGGCTCTATGGCACCAGAAACCGAAAACGGGCAAAAATGGGCTCCATTTTCCCATTGAACTTTTCAGAAAATCACTTATAACGTTTGATTAAGTTATCGTATCGGGTTGAAACTTTGGCATCTGGTTGTGACCTCTAGCTCTACCTTTGGGCGGAGAATGAGCGTTCGGCGATGCCTAGTTTATTTTTGTGGTAAAAAACACCGTGTAAATTTTCTTTTGTGACACCCTGTATATATATATATTTTTTTTTTTTTTTGGTTTGGGAGATTGTGTGGTAGAGCTAGTGATTGAAATATCAGTTGACGGAGATTCCCGGCATTGAGCAGCGAACTGAAGGTGCAGAGAATGCTTGCAGCAGACCGGCTGTGGCAGCATTACGTCACACATCTGGCATCGCCGAATCGCTGATGGCTGCAATAAAGGCTGCAAGCTGTTGTAAAGGTGTCGTGCGGACGGATACGATGCAACGAACGCAGCTGTGCTACGATACTTAATAAAACGTGCGCCATTTGGTAAAAAGCAAGAAAAACCACTTCTTGGTTATTAAATTGTTCCCCGATAAAAAGGGGGCGAATTAAGGTTTCCCATTTTTCGTAAAAGGGATTCAACAAGGACCAGCGTGTTTTAATTAAAGTTGCACGACTCGGAACAATTCAATGCCCTGCGCTCTTGTAGCGAACATGACCGCCTTAAAATAATGAAAAACGGAAACAGGAAGCACATATCTATACTTGTTAATTTCGTTTCCCGTATCTGAAGCTTTGGATAGTTGTAAACACCGCACGGCACTGTTGGAGCAAACATTACGTCGGCGCTTTTTCGCATTTTACGTCGGAAGAGTATTGCTCCAAGTTTTACCGCTCAAGTTAGTGGCCGTTAGCGCTAACAGTGTCGCGCTGTATACGAGAAAGAAAAAAAATTGGACAACGCGAGGTGGGTCTGCACGCTCAAACGTGCGGAAACCTGCGATGCGTGCACATATCTTTTGGTTGATCAGTGGCAGATCGTAACGCGTGACTTGCGATATACTCTAAGCACGCGCCAGATAACACCCGCCATTGCGGACCTTCTCTTGTCTTACCTAGTGCCACTAAATAAGCTACGCTTCAGAGTAACGACACTTGGCCATATTGTGGCTTAAAATCATGGTTGCCAGTTAGCTGAAGCTTTATTTGAAATTCCAGGAAACACTTTTCCGTCCTCCACAAATCGAATCTAATGCTAAAGAAGCCGCACTTTCAAATCATGACGATCGGCAGTTGCGTCTGCTCTGCGCAAGCCCGAAATGGCGGCGCCCACAACAATGTCTGGGAACGGAGTGTCAGTACTCTAAGCGCAGCTCATTTAGTGGCTCTAGTCTCTGTGTACTCTCGTCCCCAGCCACCTAATAGTTGTATCCGGTATGGGCGACGAAAAAATAATCCAACGTTTCAACCTGCAAATAATAAAAAAATTGAGGGGAGGCAAAACGAGAAAGTGTGACGGTTAGGCTTATATCCTAAATGCCTTCTATTGGCGTGGCAAAGGCAAAGCAATGTTTTCGCCCATACTGGAAGTGACGTCAATTCAAGATGGCGGCGCACTTGCAGAAAAGGTCTATATCGAGCTACTGACACGGGTGTTGACGAACCTCCACAAAGGCCAATGCTGGGGAGAAGGGCACATTAGAATCTAAGATGGCAATAACCTGACCTGCTATGGTAACGATCAAGTGAATTGAACTGAATAAGAGAAAAACAGAAAACTGAAGGTCGGTTATGGCGGCGTCTATGCACAGCTGCTACAAAGTGTCCAATATTCGATGTAATTTGAAACGCATTTTTTGTTAGCCCGCCCCAGCGTAGAACGTGCGTGTGTGCTGGAAGTTTTCGTGGAGTCGTCTAGACTAGGGTGCCTTCATGCACATGAAGGCTCCCTAGTAGAGTCCATGTACAAAACGCAATCTTCTGCATGCCAAAAAAAAAAAAAAAAAAAAAAAAAAGCTTTTGATATTTGGCGCTCAGCCAACATTATTTCGAAATGGATTCGCGACGTTCGAGAAGTACATACCGGCTTAGTATAACAATGTAGTGTAGAATATTATTAACAAGTATAATAGAAAACCTAAAAAAGAAAAATGCGGCCGAGGTTAGTTTTTAGGAAACCTACAGAAACCTTCGTCTTTTTGGTACATTGATCGTTATCGCCTTTTTTTGTTTTTTTAGGACTGACATTTCGAGCATGTTTTACGTGTTTATTGTCTTTCCCAGCCGATCCCGAGTTTCGCGCTAAAGATAACGCCCGTCCCAGGATGCCGTGAAACATCGTCGATTGTCTCGTTTCTCGCTAGCGGCACGTGTGGATAGCCAGCACACGTGATCTGGTCCGCCATAGATGCTGGTCGCTTTGTTTTTACTCCGTAGAGGTGGTGCTAAGACGACCATGAGGGACGCAAAATGATGTCACGTGAGATGGTAAAATGCATGTATTGAGTCTACATACTCGCCCTCAATAAATTATTATTATTATAATTATTTACTCGATGTATTTATTGAAGATCTAGAAAAAAAACCGCCAACAACAACAAAAAATAATTGAATACCCTATATTTCTAAGCGTAGCTTTTCTTTTTGCGTGACTTCAGAAAAGTGGTTCGTTCTTATTGGAGTGGCGTAGTGACATGATTCTCTCCTGGGAACTGGGGGGCGGTGCATCTCCTACGGAAGCGAGTGTGGTCAGAGTCATACATTAAAGGGTGGGAAAATTTCTGCCCCTCCTGCGAAGCGAGCCCCGGGCAGAATCCTGACTGTCGTCTCTCTCTTTGCAACAGCGCTGGGTGCGATCGAGTGCTACGTGTGCAATTCCAAGGACACTCCGGAATGCGTGGACAAGCCCGACGCCAGCCACCTGAAGAACTGCAGCGAGATGGAGAAGGGCTCCATGTACACGGCCTGCCGCAAAATGGATATCAACGTCGACTTCCCCGTCAATGGACGTGAGTATATAGTGCATGCGCCTCACACACGTCCGTCGTCAGCAACTCCTGCTCGACGAATAGCACATAGAACTATAGTCGGAACTATAGTCGATAAGAGAAATTCGGTAATTTCTTTACAGATGGCTATATGATTATTAGTGGCATTCACTGTCTTTGTGTTTGATCTTTGCCGAATCTGTTCTGGTCACTCTTGCGTATTGCTTCATCCGTATATTTGTATTTCGCGCTGCGCGTCCGTCGTTGTGCACTGTAGGCGGTCGAGGGCACGTCAAGCTGCGTATGCAGCTTTTAACGTTTCACGTTCTTTAACGTGAAACGTTCGGCACTTCGTGAAGCTTAAAAGCGAAGCCTGGATAAAAGCGTGGCCGCGAGGGTCGACGCTGATTGGTTGACGGGGAGGTCATGCGACATGGGCGGAGTGAGGAGGAGGAGCGGATAACAAAATTCTGGAGGATCACCAGGTTTGTCGTTACACGTACCAGGCGTTAAATTATATGACGAAGAGCGCCGTGTATGTAGGTGTCTACCTGAACAGGCTAGACGTGCTGCTAAACGATTATATAAACGTTCGTTATGCCAGGGGGCTGCACGCATGTAACACAATAGCCTTGCAATTTGCCATACATGCTTTCCTCGATCGCCGGCATCAGGTTGTGAAAATTAAATAAAATAATTATTAAGACAATGCCTTGCTGCCCCCCTTCCCTCCCCCCAAACGCCATCACGTTGAGCTTCAGCATGTTTGCCGCTTGGGGCGGGTCAGGAATCCACTACATATGACGTCATGCTCAGGCCTTGTGTTCTCGGCAGTATTGGCCCGACGCACGTTATGCCGTCACTCGCGCACGTAAACGAAACGTTCTCACCTGGGCCCCTAAACTCGTCAAACACAATGTTGGGGCCGAAGTTGACGGAGCGCACCGATTGGTCTATCACGACGATGACTTCGCGCTTTTTTCGTAACGTCCAATCAGCGCGCTCTGCGAACTTTCGGCTCCAACATTGTCTTTGACGAGTTTAGGGCCCCTGCACTCTGTTTCAGCGTAGCTTGGCAGAAAAGAATAAAGGCTGGTTCGCACATTTGTGCCTGTTGCGTTCGTATGCCAACCGAAACGGCAGCAACGACAAGGTCACCGGGACAAGTGTTCGCCGTACACAACGTGGCAAACGATGCAATCGCTAGCTTCGCGAAGCGAGCGCGAGTCACGATTGTTCCGGTGTTCTGGTCGTTCCTACCGTTTTAGTGGTTGTGAGTGCAACCGTCACAAATATGTGAACCATGCTTAACTTGACAACCAGCCGAAGGGGAGCGTAACTTTGTTCCTGAAAAGGCGGCACACCAGCAGCCTTTCCAGCGGTCCTTTCAGAGGGCGCAAGCTGCGCTCCATCTCGGGGGGTTGCCAATTTATTCCTGCGAATCTTCAACACCTTAGAGGGTTACTCAATACCGACCGTTCCCGTTTCACTGGTACTTAAAAGCTCCTTCGGAACGAACTTTAAAGAATCGGCAAACCAGCGCATGCCAATGGGCACGCGCAGAGTGGAGCTCCTCTTCGAAGGTTGGGTCACGCGGTATCACGATTCGACATCCAACGAGATCCAGTTACGCTGTTGACTTCGTGGCGTCACGTGACAAGTTTAATTTAGATGATGGCAAATTCCAATTTCGTTCCTGCTGAAATGCATTCTGCCGTAAGATGTGCAGCACGTCGGTCAGACAAAATCACGCGCAGAGTACGTATACGACGGTCACGTGGTTTATACCACTATCGGCCACTTGATAACGTGATGTTACGTCCTGTCTAGTTTGGCGGGTAAACGTGCGTTTTCGTCGTTACACTTTAGCTGGAAGAGGGAAGAGGGGGGCCTGTAAAGGTGTTGCCTATAAACGTATGAGCCGAGGAAGTGAGAGAGGAGGGGACGAGAGCGCGCGAGGACGTCAGAACAAGGGCAAATCCAAAACTCCATTTTTTTTTTTTTTTTGGGGGGGGGGGGGGGAGAATTTGTAAGGATACTATTCTCCCATTCTCCGAGGGCAATCCACCAATGGCGAATTGCCCTCGGAGAAGGGGGAGGGGGGGGGGGGGAGGGCGGCCGCCCCCATCGCCCCCCCCCCCTTTCCTTCCCTTGTATCCGCCCCTGCGTCAGAACGGCAAGCTCTGGTTGTAAAGATTAGTGGGTAGTGGTCGGAACGCCGGCGTCCGGAGTTTGGCTTTCGCATTCGTACGCGTTCCACGAGTGCAATGGGAACAAAGGTTGCTAGCTTTAGGTCTACCGACTAAACTTTCCAACCAGGGTTTGGCGTTCTGACGTGACTTCTCGTCTCCTCCTCTCCCTCACTTTCTCAGCTCACTCCCCCCAAAGTGCTCTGCGGCTTCTCTTTTTACGTACTGAGCCAACCGAAGCCTCTTCGGTTAATTTCGATCTATATATATATTTTTACTCGATCTGTAAATGAATGGATGGATCAGTTTCTGGCGCCTTGCCTTCCCGTGCTCGTTCATTCGCACGTGTCCCACTGCGTGACATGGTGTTGGTAAAATTCAAATATCGTCAATCTGGTGAACGCCTCTTCGCAGTGCCCGAGCAGAAGCGGGTGGTGCGCCAGTGCGCCGTCGTGGGCGAGCCCGACCGGCCCTGCTACTACAAGGCGGGCTTCGGCGGCCGCGTGAACGTGTGCCACTGCTTCGACAACAAGTGCAACGGCGCGGGCCTGCCGGGGCTCGCGGGCGCCGCTGTCCTGGCGCTGCCTCTGCTCATCTTCCTGCAGCGCGGGCACCTCTAGGCCCGCAAACCCCGCCGCCAACACACACCCCGCAGCTGCTTCCAACGCCGGCCTGCCGCCACAGCCCAGTGCGCGTCGAGCCACGGGGAATCCGGGGGACGTGCTTCCCCAGCCTGGCGCCACTCTGTCCCTAGAGTGACCGGTGTCTCGTACTGAGTGGGTTCGGGCTACCCGTTTGGGGAAGAGGACCTCCCAAGTTACCCCTGCGCAGATGAGCGAGTCGGCGCCTGTAACAACGTTCTTCTATAATACGACTGTAGATGGCAAGAGCATAGTCGCGTGTACAGCGGCACCGTTTGTAGATAATTTGACATATCTAAAGCGCGCGCGCGAGCCTCCCGCGCGCCCCACCCGAGAGACTAGGGAGAGGGAGAGACGGCTCCAGTATTAGACCGTACATACACATATACAGTTCCGTTGCTCAGTGAAGTTGATCTCGTTGCCCTACGTACCAGACTTCGGAGAAGAAAAAAAAATGTTATATAAAAGAAGCGTTTTTTTCTTTGTGTTAGTGGCGTGTTGTTGTGTCGCTTCTTTTTCCTCGGGGTGACGGAGTGTCACGTGACTTTGCGTACCGCGGTGTCTGAGTTGTGCCTAATATTCTTCTACGAGGGATGGCAACACTTGTCTTTGTCATTACTATCCAGGCGTAGCCCTGCTCCCGTCGTTGAGTTTCAGAAGTCTTTCGATGAAAGGTAGACAAGCTCATGGTCATGGCTCATGGGGCCCACACATCACGCGATGGATTGCCGATTATCTGCCCGCCTTATAAACGGAGGGCAGTAGGATGCCCCGTTTGAGTACCGCAAATGGCACTATTTTTTGCATTTCAAGAACTAGGCTTCATATTTTGGGTGTGATAACGCTTTATAGAGTCAACAGTGGGCACGACTTGCAAGGCTTGAGGGTTAGACAAGACGACGCACATCAGCGGCTTACTTGAAAACATGTGTTATTGACGTCGCAAGTACGGCCTCTGGGAGCCACCACCTGGCTACTGGGGTGCGTGAATTAATGGCGTAGATACCTGTACGAAAATGTCGAATCCGGTGTTAATGAGCCTGAATCAAATTGTGTCATATCGTCGCAGTCAAGAGGCCGGGCATTGTACAGAGTCCCGAAGCGCAGGGTCAGTTCGACACCGGATTCAGAGCTAGGCCAGAAGAAACGTTCAGTCTGTGCGGAAAAAGACAGGCTTCACCAAAGCCTGATGTTTGTTCACAACCAGGTTCAAATTCATGCTTTACCTGACATTTGTTTCAACTCTTTTTTTTTTCTTCTTTTTAACCGATCGTCAAGAAGCGCTCTCCTGCCCACGGTGTCCAGACTATATTTTAAGCGCAAATGCTCGCAACCCAACTGTATGCACACGTAACTTCAACAAACTGTTTCCCCTTTATACCTTTCCCTCTTTTTTTTTTTTTTTATTGTTGTTTGGTATAGTATTTTGGGGTGGCTGCAATGGCTTTCGGGGCTTGTTTCCGACCCGCTGTATACCCTCGGCTCCGCGTTCGTGTCCGAGCTTCGTTCTGCGACGTTGGCGCACTAATCTCCGCGTCCAAGTGGCCCGTTATCAGGCGGTGATAGCGGGGTTATTGTTCCGCGTGCGCTGTGCCTCTTGGCATCGGTGACCGGCGAACGTGAATTTTGTGACGAGGCGCGCCTTGTGCGCTGCTGCAAACACTCGAGCCGCAGCCTGGCGCCAGGCGCATATAGACCGACACGCGACTCTGACGTAACACCGAGGCTATCCTCACGGCGTCTGCGCGGACGCTTCCTTTCGCGCGAGTTTGGTTCGTGCGCAAGCGCCGGGGCCCACACTTGGCGTGGGCGAGCGCAAACTTGTTTGTAATCAGTGTGTTAGGTATATATATATGTACATATCATCTCTCTTCTTTTGGACCCAAAGAAACAGCACGCGCACACACGCGCACACACACACGCGCAAAAGAAACAATGGGGACAAAGTCGAAAGTCGATATTCCACCGATAGCAAGTGCGGTGAAAGATGTCGGGTTCTGGTTGGCCAAGCACGGAGACAATGGTTCATTTAGCTACAATATCAACACGCATAAGACAACGAACAAAATAAATATATATATATATTTTTCTTTTAGTTTCTCTAGATTACTCGTAAAGAAATGCGACATGTGGCCGTATCGAGAATTGGGGGGAAAAATGCCATATGTGGTCATCTATATATATATATATAGGATACGGATATACAGTATATGACCTTACTTACCCGATTCTCGATAAGACCGTATATGGCATTTCTGTACCAGTATACGCATGTGACTGATGCTTCCAGAAAACCAGGTTTATTAAGAGCTATGGCCTCGCGGTTTGGAGGAAAAGTTCGAAAAAATTGGATACGGGAAAGCGATTTGTTTGTTCGATAAGGTACACGGGCTTGGCCATAGTCTGATGCCGTCCTAACGAGGTGCCTGCCCGTGTTTCCAGGGAACCTAAACCTGGACTGCGGCAAAGGTATAGAGCTGCGAGCTTCGTGCTTCAGCTCCCGTCTCGGCTGCACGAACACACGTGTACGGCTCTTCTGAGCGCCTATCGAAGAAACCCGCTCATGCATGCAGAGCTGCATGCATGTAGCCTCGGTTGCGGTCCATGGTAAGGTAGATACAGCAGGTGCGCTGCCATTTATATTTAATTTGCGTGTGCCTTCTAAATGGCGTCATTATTTCGGCCCTCTCGGTGATCCTATACGCTTCTTTTTAATTCACATCCGGATCGAAGTAAGGTACCATTTCGTTGGCTAATAGTCTATCGAAGTCGACATTGTATACTCCGACCATGCAATAGCGTGATCACTACTGTGTGATGCACGTTAAAGCCATTGGAGGTCTGCAGGTACAAGTCATATTTGTAGTTGTGTAGGTTTTGCAGGTGCAAGCTCCATCGCAGCTGAACTGCCTCTTTTGAACCGGTATCGTCACATTTCTATAGGTCCAATCGACCTCTCGCTGCGTAGACATTCACCCCGTCCAAATTTCCAGCGTTTTACACAGCGTGAGGTTAGGCCCCGCAATAATGAGGCCTAGGTGGTGGGTTCGAATCCCGGCCTAGGTGACCGCAATCTGACGGAGGGCTTATTGCGGAGAACGCGCCGCGTAACCGAGCTTTCGTGGTTGTACATACTTCAAAAGATCACCCTCTGTTGGTCCAAATTAATCCTCAGTCCGCCGCTGGGGGCGTGCCAGATACCCGTCGTCCTTGGTTTAATTGGCACCTAAAAGCCCTCGGATTTGATTTGATTTGAGCTGCAATATGGCCGGCACTTTTGATTAACCTGTATATTAGGCTAATTTGGTCAGGGCAGCGAGACTGCGATAACTTGTATCGTGCAGCGATATACGCCTCAGAAATACGATACACGGCGGCTTCCGTGGTATCAGTTGCACGGGAGCCGGACGTCGTATACGCGACCTTGCCACGTACGCGGTATACTACGTCACGAAACGGTCGGGACGTATACTCGGGTATATAGTTTTTTTAAAACTCTCTCTCCATTGATTCGTCGTTGCCCGCGTCGTACACCACACTCCGCACGCTCGTCACGTCGCACACAGCGCAGCTATCTCCGCTAAACGAACGAAACGCCTGCACTTCTTTCTGTCTTCGGTCTCCGCGTGCAAGGCGAACCGGTTTGCTCTTTCGTGCGGCCGCCGAAATCGGAACGAGGACGGCGCTGGACGGAGCGTCGAAACAGAACCGCTGACGTCGCGTCTCGTCACGTCATTTGCGACGTCATCATCGCCTCGTTATATTACCGGACACCCGGCAACGAGAATCGCGAAGCCACAAGCGAGCGGAGCGACGATCAGGGTCGTGCACAGCCGGCTCTCGCCATGGTCGTTTCTTTGCTGTCGGACGGCCGTATTACTCGAACCGACGCAACAAATGCGTGAGCCGATCACGAAACACGCACGAAGCGAGCGCGGAGAACACAAAGGAGAAATTCGTTGCCTCTCGGGCATTACCTAAAGGCATTCTAAATGCATAGCATTTCGCAATGTCAGCCGTGGTATCGCCTGACTTTACGTGCATTTTAGAGCGCCTCTGGGATGACCTAACGTAACATGACGTAAAATCACATCACGTGACGTTCCGAAAGACCTATAAGCCAACGCGCTGTATACAAAGAAGCCCCTACGGGGTGCACGCGGGCAAACGCGGAGTTTTCACACGAGGTGTGGGCATTGCGCATGCGCAGGAACTATATTCGCGTCGAGTGTACCGTCTGCGCATGCGCCCTGCCAAAAGCACGCAGCGCAGGGCCGCGTGTTGGTGTATAAATACTATACATTCAGAGCGCCTTTGCGATGACGTCACGGTATCACACGACGGTGTGACGCCATCGACGGGAGCCAATGACTTCAGTCAAAACAAAAAAGAATGAATTGTTTGGAGCGCTGTTTTTCCGGTGGAGGGTTCGAATCCCGGCCCAGGTGCCCGCAATCTGACGGAGGCTTCTTGCGGCAGAAGGTGCCTTGTAACCGAGATTCCGGTTGCACGTCAAAAGATACCCAAGTGGTCGAAATTAATCCCCAGTCCTCCGCTGGGGCCTGCCAGATGCCCTTCGTTGGTTTGGCGCATCGAAACTCCAAATCTGATTGGTGTCAAAGCTATCTGGGCGAACGCGTGGCTTCGGTGCGCCTTCTCCTTCGCGCGACAGCGCGCAAGGAGGAGACGCAAGAGTCCCGCGCTCGCTCACACTGGCGGATTTAGAGGGGAGTGGAGGGGAGAGAGGGAAGAGGAATTTGAGTGTCCTGAATTCTCCCTTAAATTCTGCATATGTAACAATTTAGGGCGGGGAAAAAACATTAGAGTCATAGCAGAGAGGGTAATAGAAAGAAAAAAATGCCCCCCACTCACCACGCGTGTCGCCTGCTCCGCCGAATGGGCTGTACCTCCGGCTGGCGTGCAAACTATGTTTAAAATCGCGTCATTTTGGAAATTTCAACCGCAGATGCGCAGATTTTGCTAAGCCAGTTATCGTGTAATACTATGCTAGATAAAGAATACTAACAGGGTTCAAATGCGCTGTTCCTGCGTGCACATAAAACTTAAAAATACGGAAAACTGTGTCAGATTGGCCGGTCTGTCCGGCGAAAAGTAAGTCCGGTTGCTGTACGTTTTTTTACTATCCAATGTTCGTACTGGTGTAGGCCTTTAACGACCATAAGTGGAAGTGTGAAATAATAAATAAAAACGTGCTCTCCCGCCGCAATACACGGAGTAGTTGGCATACTTGGGTAGTAATTCAATTACAGTAATTCAATTATTGTAATTTGATTACTTTTCGTGGTAATTTGTAATTCTAATTAATTACTTCCGGCTAAAAGAAATTGTAATTTAATTACTTTCTAACCCCTCTGAAATCCTCGGCGGCTCGGTGACACACTCGCACAGATAGACACGCACGCACACGCATGCATAACAAAAATAGCTTTGCGTTATGTGTTCTTCGTTGTTTACACTGCGGGCTGAGAG